CCTAAGATTCACTCCTTGGGGCATCTCCCTTTCATTGCACCCTCCCCCTATTTTTTCAGTTACTCTTTTTTCCATTAGGGTCCCTGTTTTGGGAGATTTAGAGGGCGCGCCATTCGGATCCTAGGATCAAGACATTTAGCAGGCAGTTTTTTTAGTAACTGGTTTCCTGTGTCTATTCTGGAGGGCTCTCTTTTGCTATACCTCTTCCCACCTGTCCTGTCCTGTTGTGTGTGTCTTTAGGATTATTAAAAGGTAGGGACTCCTATTCCCCTTTCTACATTACTCTCCTATTTAGGACTCTTGTGGTCCTACTTTTTTGTTTTGAGGTTACATTAGACAATTGTCATTCTTTGTGCAATGATGAAGATGAAAAAAAAAATTAAAAAAAAATTACAGTACAACACAAACAGTAATTGAAATGATGCACCTGTAGGGGTCCTGGGTTGGAACCAATTGTGTTGAATAGTTTTCTTGGCAACTGCTCCTAAAATAAAAATACATTTAGAATGTGATGGTAGAGAATCAGGAAATTATACCAGGATCCACAGCAGGTGAAAGAAGAAAGTAGAGGTTCAAGTATATAGAAGAGTATTTTCGAAGGGACCTTCCCAACCGCACTTTAAACAGTTGGATGAAGGTCTGAGCTTCAAACGGAAAAGTTGTTCCAGGCTAAATAGGCATTGTGGAAAATTTCTTGGCATATGGATGCAGGTAGCAGTTTAAGAGTTGTTGCCTGTGTAGAAAGTACGGTTTTGATGTCAAGCTATGGGAAATAGTTAATCCATCATCTAGGGCCTGATGTTGACTGGCTATTATTTCAATGTGTCCTAATGTAGCATAAATTGTTCTTAACCTTCACCATTTGGGGACTTTGACAAATTCACATAGACCCCTAATGCCATCCTGACAGTGCTGGCGGGGGTGGGGGTGGGGGAGGAAGGGGCAGGTGAGAGTTACTTATCCGAACCTGTCCCTCATGGACATGACATTTATATCTGGCAGGTCCTCTTTGGAGCTACACAAGTACGGCATTGAGGTCTGTGGAGGATCCCATGAGACTGCAGGATCCTCCGTAGACACAGCCAATTCCCGGCAGCAGTCTCGATTGACACTCAGGCTCCACCCTGAGTCTATGAAAGTCAGAGGGAAGAGAAATACAGAGACAAAGTAGTCCCTACAACAAGCACAAACAGATGGTCTGGGCACTGGAACCATGTGCAGAGAGCTATGATTGGACCCATTTTGGGCAGTGTCAGTGACAAATAACACTTCACTAGTCCACCCTTTCTAGTTCATAGCTCACTAGGGCTTCAATTTATTTCATTTGAATCAGAATATTTTTTTTGTAGGTAAATCATTTGAAAAGTAATTTTTCTAACATATCAGAATAATTTCTGATTCAAATAAATTAAATTGATGGCTATGCTGCGAGACCTGCATTGGTGTAACACCACGGACCTTGCAAGATGGCAGTAATAGATAGGAGGAAAGCATTTAACTCCTAGATATATGAGTGAGAACTAAGACAAATTATGCACTGGAGTTGTTAACACTTAAAGTGAAACTCTATGGAATGCCTAGTTTATTCTTAACTGTATACAGGGTGTCATTTTGTAATATTTCATAGTTTAAAAAAAAAAAAGTTTATTTTCTCAATTTGGTTTCAAACGTTATTATCCACTAAAATAAAAGCATCAAGATTCCCTATTTACGTGACTGTTCATATTACAGCCTAAACTGTCCAAGATGACTGTCAAATCTATGTATTCACTGATATGAGAATGCTTTGGCAGAGTCAGTATGCAAAACGTGTAAATACACGACAGGCGCATAGTCGCCATATGGGCAAGTGGAATTTCCACCCCAAAACGTACCCCAAAACACACTGACACTGATGTATGGGTTAATATGTCCACAGCTTTATTAATATTGATAACAATAAATTAAAGTCATTGTCCAGCCCTCATCCCGCCATATAACTTCATATGTCCCCAAAACAAAAGGCAATGACCCATTCTTTCTGTAAATATAAATAACATCAACAACATTAATAACAAACATCATAAACATAATATAAGTACCAAACTTTGTTAAATAACCATGGTAGGGGCATACCCGGATACCCCTACCAACACACCAGGTTCTGAGCCACCACCGTGTTCGAAACCTACCAAAGTTCATAACAAACCATTTAACCAAACTCTTCACCAGCAGCCTAACTGTTCTATTCTATTTACACTGCCTGTTTGTCCCCTAACCTTTCTCTCTCTAGCCCCGCCACAAGCTCAGACCTTGATTCCTTAAGCCATCTGAACTCCGCCACCCCTAAGAAACAGTGCTCGATAGTGGCCATATCCCTGGCATGACGCCACTGAAGTTGGGGGACCATTTCGAACCAAACGACCAAAACCCCAGACACCAAGTCCTGTAGCCGGTTAATGTCCTGTTTCATCCACTTTACCAATCGTTTTTGGGACACCAGACCCAAATCGTTGCCCCCAGCATGTAATAGGAGATCAGGAGGCATCCCCCTTTCCACAAGGCTAAACACTGCCCCAATAACATCGCCCCAAGTAGTTCCCCGATAACCAAACCACTCAATTGCAATCTGGTCAATCAGAAAGCCCAGCTGCTGTCCTTGTATACGAGCTGCAGCCCTCCTCTTAGCCCAGAACACAAACAAATGTTCCATGATCTACGCAACTCAACCTGTGGAAACAAAACAGAACCATCAGCTGAGAGACCCCAGTGGAGACTCCCCAATCCCCTGACGTGAATCACACCAGCATCCCCAGTTGCACGTAAGAGCGAAACCGAACAGATTCCCACCTCCGAGGCCCAATCGTGTGGCTTCCGTAGCTGCCCCAATCCGGAAGGAGTGCGTCCCAAATTGTTCCTCAGGCCCAACCTCCTAAGCCACAAGCGAAAAACCAGCGCAAACTGGAAGCGCGACAGTGCCGAACCATCCTCATGTAGGAAAAAGGTGCCCTCACGCACTGGTCGCAACGCCCAATACCGTGTCTAGCTGGTAACCGGGCACAACCATGAGCCTGGGAGAGCGTGCAACACAACATCTGTCCCTTTCCCCTGCACATCTGTCTTCGACCTAGATAAGTGGATCACCACTCTATCCACCCTGTAGAGACATCCGACGCCTGAAAAAGGCCAAAACAAACGCTGCGCCAAACAGGCCAGCCTCAAATCTCGGGCAGAACATGTACCAGGCTGTCCAGAACACTGCTGGAAACTGTTTGCCGTGCATCAGAAACCCTGCCCCCGGAAACCCTTTAATGCTTGTCAAGTCCCCCCAACCGCGCAGCTTGAACCAGAATGCGAGCGCCGCCATGTTCCTTTCCACTATTGCCGGGTAAGCGCCCCTAGCTATGAGCTCAAATGTGAACCACAATAGGGCATCAAGACGCGTCTCCCTGCACGTCTCCAATTCCAACCGGACCCACAATGCCTCCCATAACTCCCAAACCTTCACAAGTCCCCCAAACAGTCCGTTCCGAGCTGCTACATCTCGTCCGGGCAATCTTCCACCTTTTCCAGTGCTCTGGGCGCAGCGGTTCAGAACCAGGACCACTGAAAGCAAGACAAAAAGTCAGCAAGGATGTTGAAGTAAACAGGGACATGTCATGCGCCGAAGACCACATTGCGAGACGTACACATAAGGACATATTTTCACAGAAGCCGCACTACCAGCACCAACAACTGGTTGACCGCATGTACCATGGACATGTTGTCCGTGTGAAAAACCACCTTTCTATCTTTCAGCAAGTGACCCCTCAGCCACCTAGCCACTACAAGCAGAAACAGCTCGAGAAAAGCCAGGTTGCGCATCAAGGCGCTCGCCACCCACACCCTCAGCCAAGGCGCTGCACACCAGCGTCCCCTGAAATACCAGCCGAAGCCCATGCTACCCAGAGTGTCCATAAACGGCTCCAGATCTGGGGCCGTAACCCCCGCCTGCCAGAAAATCAACGTCCCGTTAAACCCCCATGGGAACACATCCCAGACCTCCAAGTCAGCCTTCATAGCCGAGGAAACCCTAACAAAGTGATCAGGCGAATGGATTTCGACTGTGGCCCTGGCCAGACTTCTACTGAAAACCCTCCCCATCGGCACCACCATGCAAGCAAAATTCAACTTGCCCATGAGCAATTGGAGCTGCCGCAGCGTTACCTTACGCGCCTGCAGCACTTCTACCACCACCGCCCGCAACCCCACCAGAGTTTATCTTGATACCCAGGAAACTCAGGCAGGTGGTTGGGCCTTCTGTTTTGGACCCCGCTAGGGGCACCCCGAACCTGTCATCCACCTATTCGATGGTCCGCCGCAGGTGGAAACAGCGCTGAGAGTCAGCAGGCCCCACCTCCATCTTCACTCTAAGTACAAAATCACACAACCCATCGGGAGAAACAGGTTGACGAAATATGAACTCAAAAGGTGTTGACAGTCTGGGTGTATCAGCAGGAGGCAAAACGCCGCCTCCACATCCACCTTTGCCATGAGGGCCCCGGGCCCCGCCTCCTGAACCAGCTCAACCGCTTGATTGAATGATGTGTAGGAGATGGAGCACAGGTCCCCATTGATATCGTCATTCACCGACTCCCCTTTCGGATAAGAGAGGTGGTGAATCAAACAAAACTTCCATGCTTCCTTCTTAGGGACGACCCCCATCAGGGAAACCTGCAAATTGGGCAAGGGGAGGGTCGCAAACAGGCCCTCCATCCTGCCCAGCTGTACTTCCTTACCTAATTTCTCCCGCACCACTTCCGGGAATTCAAAAACTGACTTCACGTTATGCACACTTCCCAACCCCCCCTTCTTGAAAAGGGATATAAAACCACTCCCCAAAACCTGTGCCCAACAACGCCACATATGCCCTGTTACCATATTGGCTTAGCCACTGTAGCATCATGTCGAGTCTCATCGGCGTTGCTTCCTGTGGCTTCCCCCGCTTGGGGAGCCGTACTGCCTTCCACCTGGCCATGCAGCTGCGTGCTCCTGCGTCCGGTGTGCGGGCCTTCGACCTTGCGGATCCGATTTGCCACCACTGCACTGTCTCTGCCGATGGGCCTGACATCCCGGCCCAAGCCTCTGTGGCGGTCTCCTCCACGCTGGGCGGCCGGTCCCACCACCATTCGGTCTCCCGGCCAGGGCCGGTCCAAAGTGCTCCTGCACCTATGCTGCTCCACGATCCTGCGCTGCCACTCTCACTTCAGCCAGAAGCTGCTCCACTGGATCCATCCTCTGGGCCTTAAACCTGCAGCAGAAGAAAGCAGAAAACCTACCGGGCCAAAGCTGCAGGCTGAAATTGCATGCAACTTAGGCTAGGTAAGCAGATTAAAAGTGCCTGCTTCAAAAAAAATGGCTGCCTTTTTATACTTGGCCAACCTCCTTAACACTCTAACTCCACTCCACTCCACACATGGGACCTTCCCCCAATGCCGCCTCCTAACTCTGTCAAGCCCCTATTCAACTTTGCTGTGCTTGTTCCATAGGGCTACAAGAGACTTGCATAGCCAGCGATTATGACAATCACAAAAGAGTAGCATAATCAGAGTGATTAAATAATTTAAATAATAATAACGATAAATCATTAATGTAAGAAAAAGTGTGTGGTTTTCTATTATGCATGTCTGAAACATTTTTGTAATTAACAACATGCATGATGTCTGCTCTTCTGCACTATTCTTTGTGCTGGCAGTATTTCTCCACCTTTTATGATAATTAAAACAGCCAGCACTAAACTAAAATAGTAAAGAATAATAAGTAAATAAACTTGAAGTATTGCTTTGAAGACCAAGTAATGAACACAAACAATAAGATTAACAAACCTATAATGAGATGGAGACTTCTCATAGATTGATTGTAGCTTGCTTCAAACACACAGATGTAGTCACAAAGAATACAAAAAGAAATGCATACAACATAGAAATACTGCTGAAGCTAATACTGACAACACAAATAGGTGTTATTAAAGCACCTTTTATCTAATTACACCCAGGGGTTTAGTAAATACCAAATTAAAGTGAATTTCAGGTTTCAGGCTAAAATGGTTGTGAATGTAACTGATTTGGTGATTTTAGCTTCTTATATAACGTAGATTACAGTGCTGGTGCTAAGTATATTAACCCCTTAGAACAGGGCCGACATGAGGTGGTTCAGTCGATACCCCCGATTATCACAACTTGCAGCATGTATAGGGAGGAAGGTGCCCAGCAAGTGCCATCTTTCCCCTCCAGCAGGTCTTCCCCAGCTCTCACGAGCCAGGCTGTCAGGGTGTTGTCATGGGTTACCATGGCAACATTTCACATGGCATGCATGTTGTGCGTGGGACAGAGAAAGAGGACTTGTCAATGGGTGATGATGGTATCTGCTGAACTCCCTCTTCACTATACATGTGTTACGGTACCTCCAGTAATGAAATGTACAAACCGCCGTTTAGCGAGTATTCCCCGTTCGCAATAATGTGGTCGGGTAGCGGGTATAGTAAAACCATGCGAACCGCCAGCCAGGGAACACTCCAAACTCCCGAACGGTACCTGTACGGCTAATTCCCTTCACGAGCTGCAAATCCACGAACGGCAAATAGTAACCGAACGTCAATATCTCCCAAGCGGCAAATAATCCAAATAAGCAGTCTTTAGTCGCTGGTAACCAAATCCCCCCAATAACGAGACCAAGCTCCGCTTTGAGGGTAAAACACGAACTGATTTACTGTGGGCTACCTGCCCGGTATTTATGCAGGTCTCCCACTTAGTGGACACTCCCCTAGGGGACCAAATGGGAGACTGAAAGTACAGAGGGACATGGGGACATTTTGGACATACATCCCCACAATATTCCCAGCATGCAGTACAGTTCCCTCCCCTCTGCTCGGGGGATAATTGGGAAGTAACTCAATTATCTCCCCGGGCAGAGGCAATCGCCATTTTAAACACAAGTCACAAAAACACATGAAAATCCATAACTTCATAACTGCCGAACATATTACATTCGTATCACGTATCCCCAGATAGCCTGGATCTGAGTGCACCTTATTGGAGAATAGCGCTCAGATCCCATTCGCATAGTTCAATCGCCATGGAGTCAAAGTCTCTTTCGGTTCTTCTGTATGCGGTTGACTCCATGGGACGGCTATCTGGGTTAAGTCCATTCGTGTGGTTGAATCTCCCGAACAGCTGGCATTCGTATACTTTTGTCGATTGAGAAGGGGAGGTCGACGGCTTCAGCGGTGTTGGGCTGAAAAAGTGTCCGTTTTCAGATCCATGAAATAATCGCCGAACACCGCTGGTCTTTCGCATGGACAAAATGGCCGCCGCCTTGTGGTCGACATACGAACGACGACCACCCGGCATTCGGTTTTAATTGAGAAGTGTCTGGTTAACCGCAACGTTCTAATTGGGATCAATAGGTTAACCAGCAGCACACTTCTCTTCTGGGTGGCCGTCCGTTCGGTAGTTCCGTTCGACAAAACCGACATTCCCTTGAATAAAGCATACGAATGGGGAAATTCATGTAACCGGCAAAACAGGCGAACAAAGCAGTTATAATCCAGACAGATGGGTCTGTCACAACATGCTGCTGGAAACCTTCATATGGCCACTGGACCACATGGGGGTAAGAGGCAGGGAGGTAAGAGGCAGGGAGAAGGGTAATAAAATTAAAAACAAACATTATTAAAAAAAGCTTTTTTCCAACAGAATTTATCCAATATCTCACCCCACATATTTACCAACACACACACACTGCATCAATTCCATACGCTGTATCCACTATAGCCACTGCATCCACTCAGGGCCTCCATCAGGGGGTGACAGCCATGCCGCCCAGGCCTCACGTGTAGAGGCGAAACTGCCGCAGGTGCATCTGCACCGGGGGCCCATCAGGTGGCCCAACCATTTAGGGCCACCCGATGAGCCCTATATCTTCAGGGGCCCAGTCACCGCTGCAGCCGTGTAATAGCGCGACCGGGCCCCTTTAAAAAAAAATTGCGGCTGCACCGCAAGTGCTGCTCAGAGGAAGTGATGGCCGGTCACTTCATCTGTTCAGGGGGAGAGGCAGCTGAGGAGAGGAGAGGCATCCGCTCCCATTATCCTCTGCCACCCTCCAGCAACGAAAAGGTAAGGAAGAGGACGGTGGCTGAAAAATGAGGTGTGTGCATATATGTATGTGTCTGCATGTATGGATTTCTGTTTGTGTATGTATGTATGTATGTCAGTATGTATGTATGTATGTGTGTATGCAAGTAAACGTTAGCTGAAAAAAGGAAATAGATACTGTATTAGTAGAAAACGGGGGTGGAAGGAGGGCTGCGTCACATATAGATGAAAGACTGATCACTAAATACAATAATAGATAAACAAGGATATGTGAGCGCTCCAAAATACAACTAACACCACTTAAGGCTGTACTCCAGAATGGCAACTACTTGACAAAACTGATATGGATCAGATAAATCATCCAGGGATCGTTAAGACTGATATAAAATATCAATGGAATCAATCAGATATGAAATGCATAATACAAAATTTATTTACACACAGAATAATCAAATAACTGATAATGATGCAGTTAAGATTAAATGTATCACACAAACAGCAATAATGTTATCCAGTACCAGGTCACAAAACAACAGTGTGGGCCCCTCTACGCCGATAAAAAAATAAGTAGTACCTGGAACTGAAAGTGTGCACACAAAGATAAAAATAAAATAGACCATATCCAAACACATCCACTGATCCTGGGGCAGGGAGCTCTTAAACACGCCAAACGACCAGGTAAAGGCTAAGGGAGTTGCTATGAAAAATATATCTCCGAGCTAAACCACTCTAGGGGTTATGTCAAAGCAACTTACCCTGGCCGCCCTACCTTGGTGTGAGGTTGGAGGAGCACGCCAACTCCTACCATGGGATAGGGAGTGTGGGTCATTGCAATCGCAGCAGTCACCGCAGCAGTTGCCTAAAATCACTCCCGGACCATAACCGTAAACCGAGCTGGAGATGCAGACAAGACGGGAGGCAGAATGTCTACGCGTTTCGTCCACTTAGAAGGACTTTGTCAAGACTAAAGTCTGCTATCCTTAATGTGGGTATATATACCCTCCATGTAAAGTGGTGACCATGGATTAACAATAATTTCACATTAGGCTAATTGCCTAAAACATGCACATTTAAAAAAACACAATGTATTTATGTCAGTATGTATGCCTGTATGTATGTGTATGTTTATCAGTATGTATGTCTGTTTGTCAGTGTGTATGTATACATCTATCAGTATGTATGTGTTTATGTCTGTATGTATGTCTGTGTGTGTGTGTATGCCTGTAGGTATGTGTGTATGTATGTCAGTCTGTATGTCAGTATGTATGTCTATATGTATGTCTATATCTATCAGTATGTATGTGTGTATGTATTTATGTCAGTATGTATGCCTGTATGTATGTGTATGTATGTCAGTATGTATGTATATATATATATCTATCTGTATGTGTATGTATGTCAGTATGTATACCATTATGTATGTATGCCTGTATCTAAGTCAGTTTGTATTTATGTGTATGTACGTATGTCTGTTTGTCAGTATGTATGTCTGTATGTATGTGTGTGTGTGTCTGTATGTATGTGTGTGTGTGTCTGTATCTCCTTATGCATGTGTGTGTCTGTATGTGCCTGTATATGTGTGTGTCAGTATGCCTGTATGTATGTCTGTTTCAGTATTTGTGTCTGTTAGTATGTGTGTATCTTTCTGTGTGTGTGTCTGTGTCCTTTTGTGTATTCCTGTGGGCGGGATTTGGAGGTGGGGCTTGGGGGCAGACCTTGAGCTGTGTTAGGGCCCCAAATGTTCTAATGGCGGCCCTGCATCCACTACACAAACACAAACTACACCCACTACAAACACACAACATCCACTAAACACACATTTTACACTCACATTGCATCCACTACATAAATGCACTCTACATCCACTTTGCACACACTCTGCATGTACTACAGGTGATACGTAAAAAATTAGAATATCGTGCAAAAAAGTTAATTGATTTTAGTAATGCAACGTAAAAGGGGAAAGTAATATATGAGATAGACGCATTACATGCAAAGCAAGATAGTTCAAGCCATGATTTTTTTCATAAGTGCGATGATCATGGTTTACAGCTCATGAAAACCCCAAATCCACAATCTCAGTAAATTAGAATATTGTGAAAAGGTGCAATATTCTAGGCTCACAGTGTCCCACTCTAATCAGCAAAGTAAGCCAT